GAGGACACGACGGCAGCCACCCACTTGTCCCCGCAGAACCCGAGCAGTCGCAGGGAGAGGAACAGCCATGCGCTCACAGCAACCACAGAGGCCCCATTGCCCACGTCCTTCCCCTTCACAAGCACTCAAAATAAAAGAAGCCCGCACGGGCGCAGCCACGGGACACTTATTTACATGGGCTGTACTCGTCTTCTTGCCTAAGACACAGCCGGAAGAAAAGGAAACCTGCGGCACTAGGAACAAAGCCAGCGCATGGAAAAATTGACGTAGTAACCATTGCAGCCACCACCAAAATGACAGCTCCACAACATATCCCAAGGGCCAATAAGAAAAAAAAGACGCTATAGCCCGTGTCTTCCGCGCAAAATTCAGACATGGGGGGAAGAACACAATAACTGTGGTATCCAGCACAACACTCTTTCTGATACCCCGAAGAAGACGCGATTGTGCATGCTTCGCATCCCAGATGTGATACACCTGGCCGCGTGCATCGCCAGCCGGAAGGGAGGAGCACAGCATGTGGAAAGCGCATTGTCAACGCAGCAGGGCATCCATAAACAGGAGGGGACAGAGCAATGCCGCCAAAGGACGTAGCGGGGGGAAGAAAACGGGAGACTCCAAAGGGGGGGGTCCTTCGTGTATTTGTGCGTGTGCGTGTGTGTGTGTGTGCGCGCGCGTTTGCATAGACCACGACGCAAGAAACACTGAGCAGGCTTGTACAGGGCGAAGCAATGTCGGGCGCCAGCACAAGGGACAATGTCGCTACAGCAGCAGCCAAATGGCAAGGACGAGGGGATCTAAGCGGGGCCCTGCCGCAAAGATTTACGGTCGCCCACACGCCCACGTGCACAACAACGCCAGTGAATTGCCACAGGGCACCGCTGCCGACTTCCCGCGCCTCCCGTTGCAGTCATTCCCCCACAGCGGATGGGGCACCCGCGTCTGACGCCACTTTCTTGGGGGCGGCGTAATTGGCGGCGTCAGCGACCACAGCGGCCCTATGCAAGATATCGCCCCGCCGCAGGCCGGGACCAAAAACCCACACACACACCCCCCTCATTGCCTCGTGCGGTAGTGGCAGGCGCCACCGTCACCCAAGGTGAACACTCGCTTCTCAGGCGCAGTGCCGCTCGGGTGTTCGCATGCGGCACGGAGACCTGTCGGGGGCCGCGCCCTCCACACACTGCGCCACGGCGACTGCCGGAAAAGCACACGTATTGTGGGCCGCCCGCACCACGATGGGGAAGAAGCGTTGCCGACTGCAACCACCGCGGCCCCACAATTGTCTCGCCTCCCGAGATGGTTGCCCGCCAGGCGCCTCCCACACGCCTCTCACCGCACGGCGCTGCCCCTCCCCGCCACAACACTGGCGGCAGCTCAGCACCGCTGCGACCACAGCCGCCGTCGCCAAGCGCGCCTCAAGCGGCGTAAGGCACCGCACACCTGAAGGGGCGCGAAAACCGCCGCAGCGGTGGACGGCAACCGCGCCCTCCTCGCGCAGTCAGAGCCACGCGGGTCCGCCAATTGCAGCACCCACAAGCACCCGTCGCGCAGCATCATCTGCGAAAAGTAGCGAGACTGGGGAACCGCTGTGTCCTGGAAGCAGCAGACGAAAAAAAAAAAAAAAAGGGAGGAGACGGGGGGAGAAAAATGCACTTGCACTATCCGCACCGCGCAGTGCGCACGCCACGGGACACGCGTGGAGGCCACGGACCACAATGTATTCTGCGCCGAAAGAGCACATAAGAGAACAAAGGCGGACCGCCTGTCCCGCACGTGGCGCACATCGTAAAACAGAAAAACAAAATCACAGATGCGGGACACACGGCGCCTCCCACCATTTCTTCTCCCTACGCGCCTATTTCTCGGATTGTATAGCACTTCAGGGGCACGCCTACTTACTCGCGCTTCTTCCCTCCTCATCTACCCCCTCCCCCCAGCGACACTTGCTATCTTCTCGCTACTACCAGCCTCGCAAAACCCACTTGTGTCTTCCCTTCTC